TGCCTGCCAGGGTCTCAAATGCTTCTGACCTGGGCCTGGAACCTCCAAAAATGTCTGAGGGACATTTGGAGTTCTGCCAGTGGATCCGGTGCCAAGGCTCCCTCTGGCTCTGGGCTGCAGAGCCCCTGGCAGTGCCAGGCTGTGGTGGCAGTGCCCGGGGTGACACCAGTGTCACAGGGGTGGCACCAGGGATGGCAGCAGCTTCTCAGCCCAGCCCACACCCACCAGGGCAGGACAGGAGCCAGCCTCACCTCCGGCTGCTGCAGGACCCGTTCCCTGGTGCTGTCCCCTCTGTTCCCGTCCCGTGGGGACACAGCTGCCACCCCAAATCTGGGGCAGCCAAGGGCTCCTGAGGGACGGGACAGAGGTGTGGGTGGGGAAGGAGAGCACAGCGCCCTCCCTAACATCGTCCAGAGAAACTTAATTCAAAAAATTCAGGCAGGAGGCTTCAATAAGCCCAGAGGACCCTGCCAAGAGTCGCACTCCCCATGTCCAAGAGCACAAAAGCTGGACATGTAAGACATGAAGAAAGCACTGTCGGGGCAGGCCAGTGCCAGCCAGCAAATCTGTAACAGTGGGAACATGAAATATTAATCAGTGGTGCATAAAACAACAGGAAAAAGCTGCATTTTGGGGCAGCCATCCATCCTCACTCAGCAGGGAACATCAAGAGACACTAATGCCATACAGGTTCTGCTTAAATATCTGCCTGCCCCAATGGTCACGCAAGAAACATTCGCTTTGAAGTTGAAAATAGACTGTAAATGTCTTTTGTGTGAGATGAAACATGATAAGACATGAAACCAGGAGGCTAAACTGTAGTTAATCACGGCGGCTTTACAAGCAACAAATCATTACCGCAGACAGTCCAGGGGATGGTTTGAAAGAGCAGCCACGTGGGGAGAGAGCCCCGGAGGGCATCACCCTCCCTGCCCGGGGCTTGTGGCACACTGGGGGGGCCACGGGAGCAGCCACGGGGCTGGATGGAACCTCACAGGGCTGGGATGGTGCTCACAGGGCTGGGATGGTGCTCACAAGGCTGGGATGGTGCTCACAGGGCTGGGATGGTGCTCACAGGGCTGGGATGGTGCTCACAGGGCTGGGATGGTGCTCACAGGGCTGGGATGATGCTCACAGGGCTGGGATGATGCTCACAGGGCTGGGATGGTGCTCACAGGGCTGGGATGATGCTCACAGGGCTGGGATGGTGCTCACAGGGCTGGGATGGTGCTGGCAGAGCTGGGATGGTGCTGGCAGAGCTGGGATGGTGCTCACAGGGCTGGGATGGTGCTGGCAGGGCTGGGATGATGCTCACAGGGCTGGGATGGTGCTGGCAAGGCTGGGATGATGCTCACAGGGTTGGGATGGTGCTCACAGGGCTGGGATGATGCTGGAATTCCACAGCCTGGAACATCTTCCCTGGTGAGCCCTTCCCCAGGGCCAGGGAGGGCTGTGGTTTGGGGTCACCCAGCTCCACGCTGGAGCAGGGCAGGGCAGTAGAGCTGTGACATTCCCCTGCTGGCACAGGGGGGATCAGTCCCACCCCAGGCAGCTCCTGGGACACCCACAAGGAATCCACCCTCAAAACTTGGGATGTCTGGGGGTGAGGAGGGAGCCTGTGGGGGGCACGGCTCTCCAGGCTTGGAATCATGGAATTGTTGAGGTTGGAAAAGACATTTAAGCTCATCAAATCCAACCTGGTCACCACATCCTCAAGGGCCACATCCACACGTTCCCAAACTCCTCCAGGGCTGGTGATTCCACCAGCCACTCCCAGGGCTTTACAGCCTCCTCCAGGACAGAGTTTTCCTATGATCCCACCTAAAGCTGCCATGTGCAGCCGGTGCTGAGCACAGAACACGCCTGGGACAGGCATTTCCCACCTGGGACAGGCATTTCCCACATCAAAAATGAACCTGGTGATTCCAGGCGATGCTCACTTGGGAGCAGGAGATAAGTCCCCAAAGCAAGTGTCTAAGTATGACTGATTAACAACTAAACCCTCACTAATTGCCTTAAAAAGTCACATCTCGACAGCCAGGCAAGGAAAAAAAAAAAAAGGATTAAAATTTTCCTCAGGCTAAACATTTTTCCAGCGTGCTCAGACTCGCTCTGGATGGCTCCAGTCATTATCTCCCTCATTAACACACGCCACAAACCGAAAACAAATTTCCCCACCTTGTGGCTCCGGGAGGTTCAGGGGGATTAACCAAACCTGGGGAATGGGATCAGGCAGTGCCAGCCCCAGAGAGGTGGGGCTGGGCCAGGGAGACGGAGCTGTTATTGCTGAATAAACTGGAATAAACCTGGGATTTTCTCCAGCTGGAGGTGCTGGGACAGGTGAGGTCTGGCTCCTCTCCTCCTGCCAGCTCCGTGTCACCCAGAAATCATGACGGGGTAGGATATTTTTTAATTTCCATCCCTCTATTTCCTGTAATTAACACAACACCTGAATTTTTGCAGCCCCAAAAAGAACCCGAATCATCCCTTTGAAGCAAAGTGATGCCAAAGGCCCCCAAAGGGATGGGAGCTGGCAGAGCTTGGGATGAAGGCAACGTTTGCTGGGAATGACGGTGCCAGAGCATCCCAAATCAGGCTGTGCTCCCGGCCAAAAGGATGTGGAACCCCCCAAAAAAGTGCTGCTTTGGGATCTTGGCCTTTTGGAGCGAGAAAACCTGTGGATCAAAGGATAAAATGGAATAAAATGGCAGAAACATGAAAGGAGCCATCGCTGTGATGCTGGGCAGCCACTGGAAAGGCGGCTGGGAATTCCAGGAGGAGCAGCCAGGCACAGGCTCCAAGGAGCAGCGGTAATTAAAGCTTCCCAGTGCCTCCAGGTCATTTGCCTTTTCCTTGGATAACATAATTTCTATAGGGCTTGTTGTTTTATTAGAGAATTAATCTAAATCTGGATGCTGTGCCGGCGGCTGGAGCCATCCCGAGGAGGGTCAGGGGCAGGTCCCGTGCGTGGCATACGGGGGGGGGGGGAAAAAATCCGACAAAACTCCAAAGGGGAGGTCAGCTGGAGGCTACCGGGGAGGAAATGAGCGATTTCTTCAACAATCAGGGAAGTTTGGGTCGGCCTGGAGACGTAATTGAATTTGTGGCGTTGAAGCCGGGCTGGGGCGGCTGCTCCCGACCGAGAGAAATCCTCTCGTTAAGGAGGAATTGTCATTAGGGGATAATGAGAGGAGGGGAATGGCAGAGGGAACGTGGAGTGAGGGGGAAAAGCGGAATTCCCAGGGCGGGGTGAGGGAGGGACCGCGGGTGCCCAGGGATGAGGGTGCCCGGGGGATGGGGTGGGATGGGATCCGCGGGATGGGATAATGGGATTGGAAATGGGATGGGATGGGATTAATGGGATGGGATTAATGGGATGGGATAATGGGATGGGATGGGATCCATGGGATGGGATAATGGGATGGGATGGGATCCATGGGATGGGATAATGGGATGGGACTGAATGGGATCAGTGGGATGGGATGGGATCCGTGGGATGGGATCCATGCGATGGGATAATGGGATGGGATAGTGGGATGGGATAATAGGATGGGATAGGATCCATGGGATAGGATTAATGGGATGGGATCGGGAATGGGATGGGATCCCTCCTGCGGGATTGCATCCTGAGTCCTCAGCACCAGGGGCTGCCTGGAGCTCTCCACCCTCAGGTCTTTAATATTCCCACTAAAACCCCATCTCCAGCCAGATTTCCATGAAAATGCCCCACCCCCATTTAAACCATCCCCGAGCGGGGGGAGGTTTGCCTTCGGGGATATTTCCCTGTTGGTGTAGGGGATCCCACAGGAACATCCTCCTCCTTCCCTTCCCTCCCTGGAAGGCTTGGGAAAGGCGCTTGCACCCTCCCGTGCCCGCATCCACAAACTGCAAGGCAGCGTGGAGGAATCCAATCCCGGCTGGATCCGCAATCCCGGCTGGATCCGCAATCCCGGCTGGATCCCCTGGCACGGCCAGGGATGGAGGAATCCCGGCTGGATGTCCCCTGGCTGGCACAGGATGCTGGGCAGGGCAGGGATGGAGCAATCCCAGCTGGATGCCCCCTGGCACACGCTGCCCACCATGGGGTGGAAGCTATGCTGTCCCCTCGCTGCTGTCCCCTCCCAGGTTTCCTCCCGTTGCTGCATCTCAGGGGAATCCGCTCCAAAAATCCCTTCCAGGGCTCACCTGGATGTCACCTGAGAGAACCCCAGAATGGTTTGGGTTGGAGGGACCTTAAAGATCACCCAGTGCCACCCCTGCCACGGCAGGGACACCTCCCATTGTGCCAGGCTGGCCTGGGACACTCCAGGGATCCAGGGGCAGCCACAGCTGCTTTGGGCACCCTGTGCCAGGGCCTGCCCACCCTCCCAGGGAAGAATTTCCCCTTAATGCCCTAAAATCCAAAGATTAATCAGTGAAAATGCAGATTGGACCTCCAGACTGGAACCTGGTGAATAATTAGAGGTTGATTGGAGCTGAGGGCAATGGGAGGAGAGCTGGCACTGCCTCCTGAGCTCCAGAGGGGACCTCACCCCTTGGAGCAGGGAGCTGGAGCCCAGCAAAGCCCAGCTCAGGCCTCCAGGCTCCAGGGATTTGGGATCCAGCTCCAAGGGGGTGAAGATCCCGTGTGAGACTGAGGGTTGTGGCTTCCAGTCCCACAGACTTTGTGTGGGGAACTTCTGGTGAGAAACTCATCTCCCTGTGGCCAGAAAATGCTGAGAGCCTAGGAAGTACCAAGAACACACTGGGAACAAGCTAAAACAGCTTCATTTGGGGAAAAAGTGCTCAGTGGAGAGAAAAGGAAACCTTCCCAGGGGAGCTTTGGCTCTGGCAATGCCCAGAGGCCTCCCATGCCTCAGCAAACCCCTCTCCAATGGCACAGTGGGGAAATGGGGAGAGATTCCAGAAAAAAGCACCCCCACACCCCCAGCCCTGCAGCAGGGAGCAGAGCAGGAGCCCACGGAGCTGGGATGTCATTCCCAGCATGTTCAACACTCCAACACAGTGAATCAGTGCTTTATTTCAGCATGGAGAGGTACAAGACCTGCAGTGAGCTCCAGGGGTGGCAAACCTGCCCTGGTGCCCTGGGATCCGTGGGATTGAGGGAAAACACACGGAGAGAAAAGCCCCCAAAGTGTCCCCAAGTGCAGCTGCACCAGCAGCACAGCCCCTCTAAACCCACGGGTCAGCAACAGCCTTTTCCCTCTTTAAAGATCCTCGTGGATCCCTTCCAGAGGAGGATTTGGCTCCTGGGCCAGGGAGGGAAGGCCAGGAATGAGGCACTGAACTGAGGAGGATCAGTGTGGCAGCTCTTGGGAGCACTGAGGCAGCACAGCCACAATGCTGAGCCTGAGTGGTGCCAAGTGCAGTTCTGGGGCCCAATTCCAGCCTCCCTCCCTTCAGGGCACAGCCAGGAGGAAGCCAAGTGCCCCTGGCATTTATTGCACAGCGCTGAATCAGGTGTAAGGCCAGGGCAGAGTCGAGGACCCCGGTGTGGAACCGTCTCTGCAGTGTGGGAGGTGGGCAGAGGGGGAAAACACCTGGATGCTGCCCAGAAAACATGTGGGACCATAAAACATCCCTGCCCCAGCGCCCTGGAGGGTTTATATAGGGCAGTTCATACCATGATCCCAGCCCAGAATAGCTCCAGGGATTAACCCTGACCCTGGCCTGGGCTAATCCTGCCTTAGTCCCTGCAAGTGCCAGCAGAGCCTCCCTGGAGTGCATCCAGTGCCTGCCTGGGCTCTGGACACTGTCAGCAGCAAACCCTCCCTGAGCTCAGCACAGGCACAGCAGCTCCTTGGATGGAGCTGGAGCAGCCCCAGGGAGGAACTGGGCCAGGGAACCAGGAGAGAACCAGGACAGAGAAACCAGGAGAGAACCAGGACAGGGGAACCAGGAGAGAACCAGGACAGGGGAACCAGGGGATAACGGGGATGGGGGAACCAGGAGAGAACCAGGACAGAGAAACCCGGGGAGAACCGTGACAGAGATATTGAGGGGAACTGGCCCAGGGAAAACAGGGGAACCCTGACAGGGAAATCAGGGAATAAAACCTTGACAGGGAAATCAAGGGGAAACCGTGACCAGGAAATCAGGGGAAAACTCAGAGCAGGAGCTTCCTTGGGGTTGCTTCTGCTGTGGGTCCTCTTGGCAGGACAGCGCATCCCAAGGAGTGAAGGCAGGATGAGCCCAGGGCAGTGCCAGGTGCAGCAGCTCACTTATTTTTCCGTCAGGTCAGATTTACCTAAAAACAGAGGAGGAGCAATCAGGGCTCATGTTTCTTCCTCCAGAACCACCAGCCCTTTTAATAATGGGGGTTTTGCTACACAACATCACCACCACCACAGCCTGGCCAGCAGGACAGCAGCTCATGGAATTCGGCCTCCTGAGGCCTTTCTTCCACGGCCTTTTCTTCCACAACTTCCCCAGGGAGTGGCCAGCAAAGCCCCCCAGCCCCTCAGTGGCAGCACAGAGGCTCCCTCACCCTCAGAGAAATCCCCCAAAACTCAGCCACCCCTCAAAGCCAGGGAGACCCTGGGTGCTGGTGACAGCAGCTGAGCTCGGGGAGCCCTGAGCTGAGCAGGCTGAGCTGGATTTATCCCTGGCGTTATCAGCAGGGCCAAGGCCACCCTGCTGAAAGCAGCACAGCACTGCCAGCCTGCCCCAGAAATTACTCCTGGGGCTGGCACAGCTGCCAAGCCACAGCTGGTACCTTTCGGGAGGAACTTCAGTGAGCTGCTGAATATTCAGAAGCGGGACTGGCCCCTCTTGGGCCCATCGTTGAGGAACTCGTGGCCCAGCCCGTTGCCACACTTGCCACACGTCACCTGGAGGAGCAAGGGGAAGGGGTTGGCATCAATCTGGTTTTGCTGGAGAGGCAGCCCGGGGGTGGATTTTGTTCCAGCCCGAGGTTCGGGGGGGTATTTTGTTCCAGCCCGACGGTTCAGGGGTGTTTTTTGTTCCAGCCTGAGTTTCGGGGGGTGATTTTTGTTACAGCCCGAGGTTCAGGGGGTGTTTTCTGTTATAGCCCGAGGGTTCGGGGATAGTTTCTGTTACAGCCCGAGGTTCAGGGGCTGTTTTTTGTTACAGCCCGAGGGTTCGGGGGTAGGTTCTGTTACAGCCCGAGGGTTCGGAGGGTGTTTTTTGTTACACCCCGAGGGTTCGGGGGTAGTTTCTGCCACAGCCCGAGGGTTCGGGGATAGTTTCTGTTACAGCCCGAGGTTCAGGGGCTGTTTTTTGTTACAGCCCGAGGGTTCGGGGGTAGTTTCTGTTACAGCCCGAGGGTTCGGAGGGTGTTTTTTGTTACACCCCGAGGGTTCGGGGGTAGTTTCTGTTCCAGTCCGAGGGTTCGGGGCTGCGCACCTTTAAGGCTCCCGGGCGCTCCTCGCGTTTGGCCACGCTGTCCCCGCGCAGGGTCTCGGTGAACGCCGGCCACGGCGACGAGTGCTCGTACTTGGCCCGGCTGGAGAAGAGCTCATGGCCACACTTGGCACACACGTAAATACCTGCGGAGGGGCCACCAAGGAGGGGACAGGTCAGCGCGGGGACCTCCGAGCCCAGGGCACCCCCAGGGCAAGCGGGGGGGTGCAGGGGCAGCACCCCCACTCCCCCACATAGAAGGATCCCCACAAGCGGCTCATACACGGATCGAAACCCCGAGTCCCCATCGGGGAGAATTCCCCCGCCCGGAGGATGCTCCGCAGAACGAAACCCCCCTGAACCCCCCCCAGCCGCTCGCCCCGCCGGGTGACCCCCGGAGCCCGCGGGGAGCCCCCCTCACCCGGCTGGAAGTGGTCCTTGAACACCTCTCCCCCAAAAAAGGAGCAGAAGGACATGGCTGCGCCCTCCGCCCGGCCCGTTCCGTTCCGTTCCGTTCCGTTCCGCTGGCCCGGCCGCACCCCCGCCACGCCCACCCACCGGGCCCCCCCCCCCTTGTGTGTCACTCCCACCGGGCCACCACCCCCTCCTTGTGTGTCCCACCCACCGGGCCACCCCCGTGTCCCTCCCACCCACCGGCCCACCCCCATGTCCCTCCCCTCTCCGCGCCCACCCCCGTGTCCCTCCCACCCACCGGGTCACCCCCGTGTGTCCCACCCACCGGGCCACCCCCCTGTCCCTCCCACCCACCGGGCCACCCCCCACCCCTTATGACCCACCCACCGGGCCACCCCCCCCCGTCCCACCCACCGGGCCACCCCCGTGTCCCTCCCACCGGGCCACCCCCGTGTCCCTCCCACCGGCCCACCCCCTGTCCCTCCCCTCTCCGGGCCACCCCCCGTGTCCCATCCACCCACCGGGCCACCCCCGTGTCCCTCCCACCCACCGGGCCACCCCCCCTGTCCCTCCCACCCACCGGGCCACCCCCGTGTCCCTCCCACCCACCGGGCCACCCCCGTGTCCCTCCTCCGGGCCCGCCCCAGCGGCCCCGCCCCGCCGCTCTGCGGGCCCGGCGGTACCGGGGCGGTACCGGGGCGATACCGGGGCGCTCCCGGTACCTGGCGGAGCCCGCTCCGAACCTCCCCCGTTCATCCCCCGGTACCCCCGGCCCGGCCCGCAGCCCCGGCGGGGCGCACGGGGGACGCGGGGCGGAGCGCGGAGCCGGCTCGGGGCTGCGGATGCTCCGGTACCGCCGGTGCGAGCGGGGTGAGCGCCAGCCCGGCTCTGGGCACCCGCAACCGGCAGCGGGACCGCGACGGAGCCGCCGGTACCGACTTTTCACCGCCGGTACCGCCACCGGAACCGGCACCGCTCCGGCCCTGCTATCCCGGCACCGGCGTCAGCGCTTGGATCCCGGCACCAGCAGCGAGCGGCCTCGCTGACACCGGCACCGGCACCGGCACAAGGTCCGGTGTCACCGGCACCGGGACTGACCCTCCCGCCCCCGTTATCCTCCCCCGGCATCGCTCGTCCTTCTCGACCCCCGGGACCCACCGACCCTTCCCGGCTCCCCGCAGGTACCGGCGCTGGGGGCGGTGGGGACCGGGGGTCCCTCGGGGCTGTGGGGATGGCACAGCAGAGACCACCGGGCCGGGGTCACCCGGGGGGATGCGGGGTCTGACCCGGGGAGGAGGAGGAGGAGGAGGAGGAGGAGGAGGAAGAGGAGGAGGAGGAGGTGGCAGCCCGCTGTGTGGCGAGGTGAGGGCTTTGAAGGTGAAGCTGGGCGGGTTCCAAAGGGGCCGAGCTGCTGCAGGTTCCTTCTCCTTCCAGAGATCAGCACCACAAACCCCTCCTCGTGTAGTTTATCCAAAACCTCTCGCCCAGGATGAGTCCCCGGGCTTGGGCTCTGCTGGAAGCGGCGCCTTCCTCGGTGCAAGAGGAGAAGATCTTGGTGCCCTTTGGACAAACGCGGGGCTCTGGCTCTGCTGCCCTGCGGCCGCAGCCACGCTTGGATGGGTGCCCGCTCCCAAATGCCAAGGCACCAAATGCCAGGGGGCTGCGGGACCCCGGCGTGGGGCCGGTGCTGCCGCTGCCCTGTGGGTGCTGCAGCTCGGAATGAGCTCAGGCTCCATCCCGGCGGGCTGAGCTCCCGCTGCAGCCCCGGGGATTGATGGCAGAACCCGGGCAGGCGGAGGAAGGGGCTCCGCAGCGCTCGGGAGGATGCAGGGAGGAGGATGCGCTGCTTTGAAAGCGCCTCCCGTAAGATCAACCGAGATCAGAGGAGCGGGATGGCAGGACAAGCTCCAAATAGACTCCAGGGCCCCGCACACCTTCGGGGTGGGGATTTGCAGGCGCTGGAAGGAGCTGCAGCTGGCAGAAGCTCTCGGCAGCATCATCCATCCATTGCTCCCTGCAATTCCTGCGCTGAGGCTGTGCCGGCGGCAATGGGATGGGTGTGGGAAGGGGATGGATCCTGCAGAGGCCACGCAGCTCAGGAGAGGAGCAGAGGTTGGGAAAGGCTGAGACACGGGAGTGAAGCAGAGCCCAGAGAGAAGCAGGGCTGGGCTCCAGGCAGGGTGCTGCAAAGGATTTGGGGCTGGCTGGCTCTCAGGCATTCCAAAGCCCACCTGGCTCCTTGCTCCTCCAGCAGCACAAACCCCACTCCAGTATCCGCCAGGAAAACCCCTGAGAAGCAGCGGGGTGATGTGGAACTGGGAGCAGAGGATGGAGCTGGGATCCCACACGGCCCAGCCCGCTGGGCAAAGTTACAAAATTCTGAGCTCGCAGAATTCCCTCAAAGCCAGCCCAGGGCTCCCTGATCCCGGGATAATGCGGAATGCTCCAGGGACAGCGTCACAGCCGGGCTCTGTCACGGTGTTTTGTGCAGATAATTAGAGAGGGATTTCCAAATCCTTTGGCTGGGTGAGGAAAGTGCTGCTGTGGTGCCTCATCCCCCTCAGCAGCGCCACTGCCACCCTAATTAACCACAGAGGAGTGAGGGAAGTTAATGAAGTTGATATTTCAATTAACTCCCTGATCCTACAACCAGGCAGGCAGTGCCCACCCGGGAGCTGCCACCGTGCCAGGCTGGGCCAGGCTCTGCTGCCTTGGCCATGTGAAGGAATGTTTTAGGGGAAGGGACACCAGCCTAAGCTGGGTCACAGCTTGTCCCTGTCAGGTCATGTCAAGGCCTGAATTTGAACCAAAGCTGGGAGCAAGGAGTGGAATTTTGGAGCTGGAGAGGCTCACTGATGGTCATGGCTTTGGTGTGCCCACACACAGCGAGGGGGGACACTGTCATGAGGGGTCTTGTGTCCCTGCCCTGCACAGATGTGACCGTGCAGGGCTGGGTGTCCCAAGCAGACATCCCACTCAGCCCCAGTCCTTCTCAGGGATGTCCTGGAAGAGGTGGGATCACCCCTGAGAGCTGTTTGCTGGCACCTCCAAAGTCACCATCACCCCGTGACCCCACCCAGCCCACCCAGCTGTCCTCATGACAACACTTTCAAGGACCTTCATGTCTGATTTATCCTGCAAAGAGCAAAAAGATCCCCCTGATCCTGCAGGGCCACAGCCTGGGGACGAGCTGCAGGCTGGGAGGAGCTCAGTGCTAAGCCTGAGGCAGCAGCAAAGCCTCCCCTGGGGCTGCACATCCCTCTTGGGGTGCTGCTGGTCCAGCCAGGACACCCAGCAGGGTCTGTCCTGCTGCCCCCACCCTCCCCAGAGGTGGCTGCAGCAGCAGCAGCAGCAGCAGCAACAGCAGCAGCAGCAGCAGCAGCAGCAGCAGCAGCAGCAGCAGCGTAGCCCCCACTCTACTCACCATCCCTGCCAGAGGAGAACTCCCATACAAACCCAGGCTATTATTATCTCTGTCTTCCACCATGCTAATGGTCTCTCAGGAAACAGACTTCTTTTTTTTATTTTTTTTTTTTAAGCTTTGGAAACCCACGAGTACGGGAGCGGTGGGAACGGAGAGCTGGGCACGGTGGAGTGGAGCACAAGGAGCACCCAGGCCAGCACTGGGGTGACACTGGGGTGACACTGTCCTCCTGACCTGGCAGGGACACGGAGCAGGGACTGGCTAGGACCCTCCGAGGACCAGCCCAGGGGCGTTCTGGTAGGAGCAGCCAGGGGTGGTGGGCAGTCCTGGGGATACTGGGGATACTGGGAGTGGCTGTGATGGGCCACTGAGAGCCCTGCATGTGAGGGGCAGTGGGTCCAGACTGCAGTGCTGCCGGGGAGGTGGACAGTGCCCTGCGGTCCCTGGGAACCACAGAACCATGGAACGCTTTGGGTTGGGAGGGAGCTTAAAGACCAGCCCTGCTATGGACAGGGGCACCTTCCCCTGGAGCAGGTCCCCTCTCAGGCCCAGCTCCACTGCTCATTTCCCTTGCCCACTCCTCCTTTGGCTGTTTCGGTGGTGCCAGCAGTGCCACGGGCTGGCCAGCACCCGCCAGGCTCTGTGCCAGGGGCTGGGACCACCGGGACCATCACCGTGGATGATCTGGGGTTAACAAGTGGCTCCTGCAAAGGAGAAGCAAAGCAAGAGCTGAGATTATATAAAGGGGGCTGGAGGCAGCTGCGGCACAGGCTGTGATTAATTCCTGGCACTGAGGAGCTTTGAAGATCCAGCACGGTGCGAGCCTGAGGCAGCCCAGGGTCCCTGGGATGCATTCCTGCTGCTGCTGCAGGGCTGCTGTGAAGGGGAAGAGGGCAGGGAGGGGCTGAGCGCTCCAGGAACCCGCTGGGAGCTGCCTCAGCAGCTCTCAGGTCCTGGTGGCCCTGCAGAGCCCGTCCTGCAGATCCCTTCTCCCTCCCAAAATCACAGAGGGGACACGGCTCGGAGCGGGTCAGCCCATGGCTGGGGCAGGAGTGCAGCAGTGAGGGGTGGTGGCGGCTGGTGGGGACAGGACAGCGCTTCCTTGAGGCCACAGAACCCCTCAGGACACTGGAAACTTCGTGTCAGAGAAACTTTTGTCCTCTCCACCGCCAGTAAAGCCAGAGATTGCTGACTGGGCACCGGGGCCGCAGCTTGGGCTGGATCCATTTTGGATTCAAGCAGTGCTCGAAGCAGGGACCAAACCGTGAACTTTTAGAGGAGTCAGGGAGTCCTGCCCGCTGGCCTGGCATCCCTGCTGGCAGCCCTGGGCTGGCACTGGGACCAGTGGAATATCCTGGTGCAGAAAATCCCCGTTTGGCTGCGCCCTGGCCGGCAGCTCGGGGCTCTCGCAGCCCTGTGACTAATTGCCTGGCCGAGGTTTGTCCTCCTTGGATGAGCAGGATCCCACATGCAGCCATCGAGGACACCCCACAAGCCATCCCAAAGCAGGCTGGCAGGTGCCCAGCCCGGAGGGTCCCCGAGATGCCCCTGGGTGATGCCAATGGGGGCGGCAGGAGCAGAGTGGGGATGTTCTGTGTGCCCTGCGGTGCCACGGAGCCCTCCCAGAGCGGGGATGTTCCGTGTGCCCTGTGGTGCCCTCCCAGAGCGGGGATGTTCCATGTGCCCTGTGGTGCCCTCCCAGAGCGGGGATGTTCCGTG